AGTTTTCGAAAATAGGGTCCCTTTGTGGGTCCTGTTTATAAGGGTGCCGTACTATACTGGGGACCTAAAAGGGACCCTACCTAAACCCTAAACCCTAAACCCTAAACCCTAAACCCTAAACCCTAAACCCTAAACCCTAAACCCTAAACCCTAAACCCTATAAACCCTAAACCCATTTAGAGAACTACCCATATTGCTTCGGGTCTCCACCAGGTTCTCGGGTTTGGCATTGGCCGGGATCCTTTATACTCCAGGCGGCATTCCCCGTACCACATGGGAGTTTCCGAAAATTAGGGGTACCTGATTTTTGGGGGTCCTTATAATAAGGATCCTAGTATTTAGGGTACTATATTAGGGTCCCCGATTTTCGGATTTCCCCACATCTGTACTCGAAACCACGAGTTCGGAGGGTCCAGAGCTCCGGCAGCCTTCTGGTGGAGACCACCGCTGACCCTAAACCCAGGCGACCAACAGACCCCAGGAGACCACCGGCACACCGTCCCGAGAACATGATCATCAGAAGACCAGGGCAGCCTCACGAAACCACGATTATGCTTCCCCCCAAGTACTGGCGCACCAAACACTGTCATGATTCAGGAGGATTCGGGACCAGCTTCAAAATCCTTTGCAGCAAGTATATTTCAGGAACAGGACACCTACGCGACCGCTTGCGAGAAAAAGCCCCGACATTGTTTCCTCCAAGTACTGCTGCGAATAACGGGCTTGGAAGGAAAAAAGTGGTCCATGTCGGAATATTTACACTGACTCCTGGCCCGAGAGTGCGCGTTACACGGATGCTCCACAAATCTTACGATGTCATCGAGAAGGATGCACCGCGCCAATGCGGAAGAGGGGCGCCGCGAGCATCCTGGGTAAATAATCATGGGATGCAGGGATCCTTTTCGCCGTACTTGCTGTGTGCAATAAGAGGCAGGGGGCACTGCTCGGGACTAGACAACCTTTGAAGCATTGAACCCAAGTACTTAAACGTCCATCCCTAACCCTTAACCGTACACCCAAGCATCTAAAAACCCCCACGATGCCTGCATCCCACCAGAATTGGCTGGTCTTTGGCGGCTCCTCAGAAAGCCGTCAGGCTGAGGCGTTGCTTAGGCTGCACAGGTGTTGGGGCCATAGGGGTTTAGGGTTTTGGCTTCGGGGCTTAAGGCTTTATGAGGCTTTTCAAATCTGCTACAAACACCCCAGAGAATCTGCGAGTATGCTTTGCAAGATGTGACAAACTTGCATAGTGCCGGCTTCCTGATACCCATGTTCAGCATGCATGGCACCTACTGCAGCAAAAAGAACGGTAGCATAAGCAAAACAAGTACATCGCAAGCTCGTCTAACTAAAGATCGATCCAGTGCTGGCTCTGCAGAGATGTCTGGGAACGATTCCGGAGCTCGCCACAGGTTAATATAGTGGTCTTAATAATTAGACTAGGGTTTTTGGGGCCCATTATACTAAACTTATAACAAGGAAGCCCCCCAAAATAATATAGGTAATTATTTAGGCCCCTTTTCTTACCTTCCGACATTACTCTAACCGCCGCTCCTCCGGGTGCAATGCCGGCGGCGACTGCAAATAGCCGACCTGACCTGCCCTGCCCCAGCGGCCCTTTGAAAACCCTTCAAACTCTTTACGCGTAACGGTTTAGGGTTTAGTTTTTGGGGTTCAGGGTTTAGGGTTTAGGGCCTACAAACTCTTTACGCGAAGGCCCACGAAGCCCAGAGACCAATAATGTAGGGGCCTTCATAGTTACCTATGCTGTTTTTGTGGGGGTACCCTAGCATAATGATAGCATTATGGGCCCCAAAAACCTATTCAAGTTGTTAAGGCCCCTATATGAACTTCTGGTCTCCGAGCTTGGCGGTCTGTTTCCGGAGAACCCAATACCCCTTAGTTAAGGAATATACCTTAAACCATGTATTATTAAGACCCCTATAATTTAAGGTCTATTCCTGAAGTTAAGGGGTATTGGGTTCTCTGGGTTTCCCTCCCTTTCTCGGCCTCCTCGACCCTCCTCTCTACAGGTACCCTTCTTGCTGAATCCGCGGGGCTAGCATACGTACATCTTCAGTCTTATCAACATCCGTATTACCCTGAGGGTCCAAAGGACCTAATGATCATGTACTTAGGGTTATGTCTGTTGCAATTGCGATTAATTGTCGTCTATTGCAGCTCTTTGAGCTGTTTTAAACTGTTGATACTATGAATATGATACTCAACATCATCAGCATCATCGTTATCGGTGCTTTGATTGGGACTGCGAGAAGCTGTCATTGTTCATACGTGATATTGTCGTATGAATGGGATCAGAAGCTCCCCAAACGCTAAACCCCAAACCCCCTAAAGCCAAAACCCCCAGACCTTAGACCCTAAACCCTAAACCCTAAACGGGTCACAAGGTGCAGAGGCGCGGTCCTTTCGCCAGCGCCCGTCGCGCCCGTCGCGCCCATCGCGCCCGTCGCGCCCGTTGCCATCCCAGTCCCGCCGACCTGAGGATGCTCGGTTAGGGTTTAGGGTTTAGGGTTTAGGGTTTAGGGTTTAGGGTTTAGGGTTTAGGGTTTAGGGTTTAGGGTTTAGGGTTTAGGGTTTAGATGTAAAGGGTTCCAATATAGTATTGGTAATTATTAAGGCCCCAACAGACCGCCAAGCTCGGAGACTAGAAGTTAACATCGGGGCCTTAATAACTAGAAGAGGGTTTTGGGGCCCATTCTACTATAATTATACTAAGGAACCCTCAGCCTCCAAAACAGTATTGGAAACCATTAAGGCCCCAACATCATGGGTCTCTGGGCTTCTTGGAAAGAGTTTGTAGGATTTCACTATTACAGGTTTCATACCCAAAGGGTCTAAGAACTTACATGGTAGATACTTTGGGGTCCAAAATCTACTATATGGGTACTTAGACCCTTGGGGTATTCAAGGGTTCCTTTAGGGCTTGGGGTTCAGGGGTTTAGGGTGTAGCGTTTAGCGTTAGAGTTTCAGAAAGTTTCAGAAAACAGTAGGGGCCCAAAACGACACCTGAACGTAAGGATCCCAATTTGGGCATATAGGGGGGCATATACTGGGAGCCCAGAAACCCCAAATTGCAGGATCCTCATATTTAGGCAGTCTCTCGGACCAATACATAAGGGGGGGCACCTCATGGCGGTCTAAGTGAGGGGGGGCTAAGGCAGCTCCTATTTTGGTTACCCTTTCTTGTGTTTAGGATCCTCAGATGTGGACACGAACAGCTTAGGGCTTAAGGGGTGTTTAGGGTTTAGGGTAACCGACAACAGGAGCCAAAAATGAGGGTCTCGGCGGGGTTAGAGCTTGTGGGATGCTGTTGGAGTAGGGATCCGGGCGCGAACAGAGTGGTCTGACGCATTGGTAATTAATACTGTTGATGATATAAACCCTGCATTACCTTAAGGACCCTAAACTATGGGAAATATGGTATATACCTTATTATGGGTAATGCAGGATTATATCATCATTCGTATCATCCCTTGCAACCTTCATGTTTATGCCAGAACAGTACTGTTCATGCGCCGTTACAGTCCCTATATAAACTTATTATAACGCTGGTTGCAATATCCTGTTACAGTCCCTGTATACTGTTTCTATTGCATTAATACTCTGTAGTAGCTTGATCCGCTGTCAGTCCCTACATAAACGTTGCAACAACATCCGCGGTACTTTACAGTTCCTATATAGTTATACTCTAACATGCGTCAGAGTACCCCCCTTACAGTCCCTACATGACTAGAACGTGCTAGTCCCCAACCAGGCTCCTATTTGGGGATGAGGGTCAACGAGGGTTGAAATATCTCTGGTAATTAAAGGGGCCTTAGTAGTTAGAATAGGGTTTTGGGGGTTCCTTCTTATACTTATAGTAGACTACACCCCCAAACCCTAGTCTAATTATTAAGGCCCCTATGGCCTATGATTCGGGGGCTTCGCGTTTCCGGCCTGGGCTACAGTTTTGCTTGGCTTTAGGGTTTAAGGGTTCAGGGGGGTTTGGGGTTTGGGGTTTAGGGGTTTAGGGTTAATGGGTTTAGGGTTTAGGGCTTCGCGTTTTTTTTTTTCAGGGCTTTTGGGGTGCAAGGGTCTTGCGGATTTGGGGTTTTCGGGGCTGAGTACTTATATGGTAGATACTTTGGGGCCCAAAATATCTACTATATGGGTACTTGGACCCTTTGGGAAAGGGTAACTGCGTCTGCAACTCATCCACGTTGGACTTCTGGTTGGCACACGGGGCTGCCTTCAACGCCCTGTCTTCAAGAAGCCCGGTAGGTGCCCTTAGAACATCAGAATATAGAAGCCTCAAAAGTTGGAAAACCAATAACCTCCATCCTTAAGAGTCATGTATATTGAATCCCAGCACTATTTGTCCTTAATCCGGCTTCCAACTTTTTGGGGTTTACTAGAAACCCTAAACCCCTAAACCCCTAAACCCCTGAACCCCAAACCCCTAACCCCTAAACCCCTGAACCCCAAACCCCAAACCCTAAACC